TATGTCCCTTATTTTTACAGATCCTAAATCTATTATATAAATCTTTTTTCATATTTCATTCTATCAGATAATCTTTTTATAGTACTTATTACAGTATACTTATAGAATATCTATGTAAAATCTTAGATATTGTCTTGTTTTATTAGTAATTTTTTTTACATAATTTATTATAACTTGTCTATGGAATAATAATATGAAGTTTTGAATAGATATCAATTTGATAGAGACTCTCTTCTAACTAATATGCCTAAGTTTTACTAGTCTCCTTTATTTTATGGTTATGTAAATCTTTAACCTATCTGCAAGAGCTTATTGAAACCTGTCTTATAACAAGTGACTTCAGTACTAAAATCGATTGAAGTACAGTATCTTATAATCTTTAGTTATCTTATAATTGGATAAGATCTTGATTACAGGTAATAGTAATTATTATTATAAAATGGATAGGATCTTTCTGTATTATCTAGGCTTAAGTGATACTACCTAATAGTGATATTGAACTCAGAAACAGTACTTGGTGACCTGGGAATACTACTATTACATTATTGACTTATAAATCTGTTTAATTTTAAGAATTGATTTTATCCTTTCTATATTATTTATAAATTTTTTTATTCTCAAACTTGATTTTCAATAATTAAAAAAAGTCAAGTATCACCTTTGATATCAATAACAAAAAAACTTTCAAAAAAAAAATCAGACTATAAAGAATTTAAAGATTTTTTTTATCTTTAAAATAAAAAGTTTATAAAGATTTTTTTATAATAAAAAGATTTATTTTCTTTTTTTTTTTTAATTGTTTTAACTATTTTAAAGTTTACACTTTCATAAAATTTTATATATTTTAATTTGATTTTAAATTTTAAGTAATCCTTTTTAAATAAGATTAACTAATATAAAACATATTGATTTTTAAAATATAAACAAGTTTCTATTAATTATATTTATATGTCTCAATAATATTATTGATAATTAAAAAGAATATTATGAAAATATTTACTTTTAAAAACTCAAGTTCCTTAAGATAGAAATCCATAATTTCAAAAAATTAAGAAATGGATAATGTGAATTGCAAATTTTTATTATTTTTCTAAGTTTCTTAAGTAATAATAAAGTTTTTATAAATAAAAACTAAGGTTTAAATATTTTTTTTAAAATATTTTAATCTGATACTTACTTAAATAAAAGATCTATTAGATTGATTTATTCAATATTACAGATGATAATAAAATTTTTTTTTTGAGATTTAAGTAAAATAAAAAGAATATTTCAATTAGATGACTCTTTGAAAAAGAGGATGATTTTATTTTTGAACTTTTTTTGTGGAACCTTAAATTGGTTCCTTTTTTTAGTTATTATCACTTTTTTTTTTTAACTTAGCAATTTATGATAATTAAATAATTTATAGTGACAAACTGTTAACAATGAATCTAAAAAATAGAAATTTATATCAATTCTTTGGAGAAGTAAAATATTGTTTTCTAGATTTGATTTAAAGTACTTTGATATAATAATAAATTAAATATTATGTGAAAAATCTATAATATTGTAGATAGTTATAAAATTCTCAATAAAGTTAAACCATGTGACATGGTTGTGAATTAAAAAAAAAAAACTAACTTAATAGATAGAGATAAATATTGTTTTCTAAATTTGATTTAGAGTATTTAATTGAGACTTTGTTTGTTTAATCTGAACTAGTTTAGTGGACTTCTAATATTTTTTAAGTAATATAGTCCTTCAAGTAATATAAAAGATGAGTTGGTCATTATGTGAAAGTCCATGTAACCATTTAATATCTCAATAAAGACACAGCATAATTGCGGGTTAAAAAAAAAAATTAATTTATTATTATTATTTTTTTTTCTTGGTATATGCTATAATCTGGTGTAACAATATTAAACCTTAAACCCTAAACCCTTGTAATTTCAAACCTCGCAACAAACTACAGTTTGAAGTTGCTGAAGAATACAACAAACAAAAAAAAACAAAAAAAAAACAAAAAAAAAAAATGATAAATCCACGCGTATTCTTTGACATTGACATTGATGGGCAACGAGGCAAGTTAAAACAGACCTGTAAATAATCTTGGTTACAAAAGCTCACGACGATTAAATCTGGTTTGTAGTTGGCAGGTACATTGGCGGCTTCAATTCGAAAACTATATATAAAGACCTTTGGAAATTCGCACTTATTGGCAATAACCGTGCTTCAATATTAGTTTGAACTATGACTCACTACATTCCAATTTTGCTTCCAAAGGATTGTAATGGAGTTATTTAGAGATGAGGTTCCGGTATGTATTTTTGATCGAGAGAAGTTTATATTTAGGCTTCGTTTATTGACTTATGCTTTACAAAAATTCGTTAGATAACCACAGAGAATTTTAGAGCTCTTTGCACGGGTGTGTTCATGGTTGTGACGAGTCATCTTTTACTATATGCTAATGATTCTCTTGTTAACAGGTGAAAAGGGAGTTGGGAAACAAAGTAACATGCCCCTTCATTATCGTGGTTCCATCTTTCATAGGTAAGATCAGTTGATCGGTTCGTTCCTGTTGAACTAATAAGCTGATCGGATCATTTTTAACGATTAGGATAATCAAAGGGTTCATGATTCAGGGTGGAGGTAACGAATTTATAAATAGTATATTTTACGTTCACTGAAAGTTTACCTAGAATTATATGCATCTAGATTTCACTCGAAGAAATGGTACCGGTGGTGAAAGCATTTATGGGGGCACTTTTCCTGGTGGGGTTTAATCTTAAACATAGATATGATAAAAAAAAAAATTTTTTTTTTTTTTCTTTTTATCCTACTGATATTACTATGCTTAAATTTAGATGAGAATATGCGTCGCAAGCATGATCAAGAAGGGCTTTTAACTATGGCAAATAAGGGTCCAAATACCAACAACTCTCAATTTGTCATAACCGTACGGCCTGCACCACATTTGGATGGTATTATATAGTTATTGGAATTATATTCATGATTATTATTTTTTTTTTTCTAAGCGAGTTTAATTTTTTCAAAGGTAAACATGTCGTTTTTGGAAAAGTCGTTGGTGGTTATGAGGTTGTTAAAGCAATTGAAAGTACGCCAACAGATGAACACGATAGACCTATTGGAATTGTTATGATAGCACAATGTGGAGAGTTGGAGTTGAAGTTACCTCCTAATTTAAAGGGTACATTTTACATTATATAGTGTTATTATATTGTTTAAGTCGTATAACAGTAACCATTAACTTGACGTATTTAATCTAGTGGTTAAAGAAAAAGGAAACAGAAAAACTGAGGAGGGAGAGGAATCATCTCCAAGTTCATCAGAATCCGAAGACAGCAAGAAAAGAAAGAGTCGCAAGAGGCCATCCAAAAGGTCGCCATCGAAATCGACTGATTCAGAGAGTGAGTCTAGTGACTCTGAAGAAGACCGTCGCAAAAAGAAGAAGGATAAAAAGCGAAAGAAAAAAAAATCTTCAAAAAAGAAGCGTAAAGAAAAGAAAAGAAAGAGAAGCCCGAGCAGTTCACGTAGTCGAAGCGTTAGTATAGAAAGAAAACGTAGTGAATCTAGATCTCCTATTAAGGAAGTAACTAATCCTGACGATGACGCATACATAAAACCAACGAATGGTAATGGTGAAAAGCAGGAAAGATCTCGATCAAAAACTCCGGTCATTCGTCGTAATTCTCGTTCATTATCTCGGTCCAGATCTCCTCGTCAGAAATCTCGTTCCAGGTCTCGTTCAATAGGACGTTCTGTTTCTAGATCACGTATTCGTCGTCGCAGGATGGATAGTTATAGACCAGCCGATACGTACATTCCATCTCGTGATAGGCGATTTTCAGGTCGTCTTCGTGATCGTGTGAGAACACGAAGTCGTGACCCAAGTCAAAATCGTAATCAAAACCGCAGTAGAGACAGGAGTCGAGGTCGGTATAGAATTCGCAGTCAGGAGCGCAGTCACAGTAGGGACTCGGCTCGCGGTAGAAGCGGCGAAAGAAATACTGCTAAAAATTATGAACGGACCGGAAGTCCTAGTCGCGACAAAGAGTCATCCCCCAAAAGGTACCAAAGTCAGAGTAAAGATCGGGATGAAAAAGTCAATCACAGTAAAAGTCCGAACCGAGTCAGAAATCGTAGTCACTCTCAAGAACGAAAGGATAAAAATGAAAGACCGCATGACAGATCACGTAAACATGGCTCAGATGCAACTAATGATCTCGCTTCAGATAGAAATAGGTCAAAGTCTAGATCTCCGCCTGTTAAATACAAAGGCAGAGGAAGATTGGTAAATTACATTTTTCTTTTTTTTTTAATCCACGTTGACGTTTTTATTAATTTAAATCCTAAAAATTTTTTTGAAGAAATACTTTTCCACGCTGAACGCCTGGTAATAGTCCATTACGCATATAAAGAAAGTAATTTATGTGGTAAAATTTTCATGAATATATTGTGGATGACCTTGATTTTTTTTCACGCTGCATGGAATTATCATTTTCTTTTTGGTATTATACTTTTCTCCTTTGATGAATAGCAAATTTGGCACAGACCACCGATAGATAACAATTTTTCTTATCAAGTCACTAAATTACCCTTTTGCCTTTAGCTTCATCGGTTATTTTGATAAAAAGTTCACTGCCGCAGTCAGTATCAATAACAAGTCTGCTCGGTCAAATCGAATTAGATTTGTTACTTTATTAAACCTTGGCTTCATGTTAATTGCATATAAATTTACTTTTCCTGAAGCTAATCGACATAATAATGTGGACTAATTTTTTCTGTTGAAATGATGCTGTATATACATTAAGGTAACGAGATAGCATGTGCTTAAGCGGAAATTGGGTTCTTAATCACCTTTGTCACTTGTTCCACATAGGACGTACGTTCTATAAAAGTTTAAATCTTCATTTTCAATAATATGAGTTAAAGAAAAAGGAATGCTAAACATACGGTCGGAAGTCTTTAATCCAAACTATTCTGGTCGTTAGCAGCACATTAAATCCAGTGAGTGGATCCGGCTGTGATGTGTGCGTCAGAATAATTCTATGCTATGATCTTTATGTACGATCACTTCCAAAAGCAAAACTTAATTGTGAAATTGTAAAAAAAAACAGGGCATATTTAAACGTGAATTGTACCCTTTGTTCTTCAGCGCTTTGTTTTATTCAAGGGAATTTTTTTGGTATTGATGGTCTTCATCCAGACTCCGCGTACACCAGAATATGAATCATGCAATTAGCAAATAAACTGAACTGATTTTAAACAGTCAAATTTTGAAATATCAAATCAATACATTATAAATTACAGTATATAGTTTTTGAAGTCTTAGTATTTTTTTCTTATTAAAAGCAAATTTAATAATCATAAAAACTAAAAAAGAATTAAATGCTACAATTTATAAGTGCGAAGAGCTTCTTTTAAATACACTTCCTCTTTAAATACACTCTTTATTGTAATTTCAAATTGAAGCAATAGTATTAAATATATTCTCTATATTCTAATAATGAAATAAATTTTAATAATAAATTAGATTTTTAAATATCTTTTTCATAACTCTAATTAGAATTAAACTAAAATTAACTAAAGAAAATTATAAATAAGTTAATTGAAATTGAATATACTATAAATTTAATTTTTAAATAAAATTAAATAAAAAATCTTTAGATAGAGTTTAAATAAAATTAATTTTTTAAAAAATTATATGAAACCAAGTAAAATTAAATACAAAATTGATTTTTTTAAATAAATTAATTTCTTTTTTTTTTTTAATAATTATAGTTAAGTTAGATTGTAATTTATTAATCAATTGAAAACATAAATATATTTTTATTTGAATAATATAATATATACTATACACTAGTCAAAAAATATTTATTTAACATAATGCCACTCATATAATATTTATCAAAAAAATAAAAATTTGATATATTAATGATATAAATAAATCATTACTATATAATTTGATATGAATAAATTGATAATCAATTTCTGCTATATAATTCAACATTATTTGCTATATAATTTGTATTAAAAAATCATTAGACATTTGCCAAAATTTTAATTTAGTCAAAATTCACACATTTGTTGAATTTTTAATTATATATTATATTTACAATTTAAAGAAATTACAACTAAATATTCATGAGAATCTTATCAATTTAAGGTTTTATATCTAAATGAAATAAATCAACCAAAAATATTATAAATAAGGATTATGCATTCGCATCTAATTGAACAATATTCGTATTATTTTTAAATCTGAAATAAAATCCATTTTATATTAAATTAACTAGTTTGTATTATCAAATAAAGGTCAATTAATGTTTAATAACATTTTTCAAAAAGTTTACCAAAATATGTAAAGAAGAATTGAACTTGTCTTAGATATAAATTAATACTTTTATTATGATTTATATATCAAGTTAATATAACCAAGTCCTTAATATTTCATAAAGACATAATAGAAACAAATATTTTACTTCCAATTTGACATCTAACATATTGATCTGTTCTATTTTAAATAATCATTGAATTTTTATTATTTTTTGTAAATAACCTCTGAAAGTCCATGGTTTTATAAGATGCTTTATAGTATTTGATTAATAGATCTAATATTTTGATAAATATCTTTAAATTTGATTTTTTTATATACAAGAGTTTATTTAAAAAATAGTTAGATTCATTGATGATTATTTCATAAATATTATATACTGTATATTATTTAAAAATTGATATAACTCATCAGCCAAAAACTATTCTAGTTCAAAAATCAAATCAATATTTAATGGATTATTTAAAATTTCAAGTTTCTGATTATTAGAATAGGACATAATTAGATTAATAATTCAATGATTATTTATTAATCTTTGTATTAATTTGAGTTCAATATTTTAATAACTATTAACAATAAATCTAAATTAAAAATTCATTAAAATTCTATTTCCGAATATTAAAAACCTATTTAATATAGCATTCATTCCCTCAAATAAAAAATTCCAAAATGTATACAATGGCTTATAATTATATATACATTCATAAAAATATAATGAAAAATGATGATTCAAAATAATTTTTTCTTCCTTATATTTTTGTTCTATTAGTTTAATCATCGTAACCAATTTTTTATAATTCTCATTTAATGAATTTCATCTTAAAATTTGACATATTAAAATTTAACAAATCTTATCAAAATTCATTAAAATTTGATAATACATATCTGAAAAATGTTTTTATCAAATAATAGTTGCATATATTGAAAAATTTTTTTACTAATTAGTAATAAAGTTCAAAAATCCTTTACCACTATTTATTTTTTTCCAAATTTGATTAATATCTGATGACACTAGAAATATTTTTATCACTGATTATATTTCATCTAATGTATTATTTATCAATATCTCTTCTTTAATTCATATTTATTTAACAAGCTATTTATCAATATCTAAAAAAAGATAATACATAGGATCAATAACTAAATGTTAAATCAAATCAAAATAAAGTAGGCAAAAGAATTCAAACTATCTGATATGATTTTCACTAACAAAATATTTTTATGTTATATTTGAGTTACAGCACCTCTATTCGATAAAATCTCATTTTTGTATTACTAAATCTCTTTATATAAACTATTTGTTTATATCCTTTATATCACCAAAATTGTAATGCTTATTTTCATAATTAGTATTTTTCTTGCAATAATGATATGATACTAGTACTAAAATATATTTACACACTTTTTGTACTATACTGTAGAAATATTATATAAAATTAAAATTAAGATTATCTAAATTATTTTTTTCTCTTAATTTTCGATAGTTAAATTGAGCTTTATTTCTTATTATAGTTATATTAATTCATTGACAATTAGAAAAAGATAATAATTTATTTTAATATAAACTTGATTCACTAGAACCTGGTAATATATCAAAAATTAACATATTTTCATATTTAAATCATATTTTGTTTAATAAATTTGCAATAGTCATATATATAACACTAGTATTATATACTTTATTATTGAATAATTGAAACTAATTGATATTTAGTACCAATTCCAAATACAAATTAGTTATCTCTTTACTAAAAAATGATTTTGAATTTTTATTTTTAAGAGTTTTTAAAATATTATTATCATAGATATTACATAAAAGTTTATTAATACTTGATGAATCTATCTAATATCAAAGATTAGATTTAAAATTTGAATTTTAATATATTTGCGATAATTGATATTGAATAGTAAAATATAAAAAACTAAATTGGATCATTTCATTTAATAATTCTAATTGTATAGATAGTAGAGAATTGTACTGTATAATTTTTTTCATTTTATTGCTGAATTAGAAAATTCAATATGAACACACTTTATGATCAATAGCTAATTGTTTTTTTGAAAATCAAGAATATAATCCTGTCTATACAATTTGTGACATTTTTAATATATTAAAAAACTAATAAACCAATAATTCAAGTTTATTGTTGATGATATACAAAGATCCACAAAAGAGCTCAAATTCTTTATATTAATTTCAATTAGTACCAATTTCATAAATTTTGTAGTGCATTTGTTATCTATTCAATAAATTAAATCAAATTCTATAGTCCATAATTTACAACAAAATTCACATAAACCAACTATTTAAAAATTTATTAGAATTTGATAAAATTTGTATTTTGGAATCAAATAATCTTCAAATATATCATCTATATTTTTTTTTTTTGGAACGGAAGCTTAGCCATGTTTATTAACTTTGATAAAGTAATATATAAATTAATGCAGAAATTACAAAGGTTGTCATATGGAGCCATATATCATTTATGTTAATGAAACTCTCTAAAACCCGACCTTTAACAGATTTACCGGGTGGCTTGTTGCTCGGAGATATCCAGTTGGATTAAATTTCTACTACTACTACTATCTAGAAAAAACTAGACACCCCTAATTGGATCTTCAATCCTTCTGAAGTCCTCCCAATTAATATGCCATGGTGGACTTGCTAGTTCCAAGAAAGGAAAAGTACACCTTTCTTTTTGATCCTGGTGATTATGGCCTGTCATCAATTACCAAGTGTGTTCAAAGAAAGAGTGTGAGTTCAGTAGATACTTTGTATCATATGAGGATGAAAAAACCATTTGAATCAGAATAAAAAAATCCTGGAGTGATTTTGAAATGAAAGAATGGTTGTGTCTTCGAAAGTAGTGTGAGTTCTTGAGGTTCCATTCCAATAAGAGAGGTACTCATTCCATAGCCATGACACTTTCAAATAGTAATGAGAGAGAGGAGACTATAGTT